GGGGAGTCATGGGACGGAGCAGTGAAGACCTATTTCTGTGGTGTGTGTCAATACAAAACCATGCGAAGACAGCACGCGTTAACCCATGTCAGGCGACACACCGGTGAAAAACCTTACATATGCAAATTTTGTGGAAGAGGATTCGCCGATTCGTCATCCATGAGACGACATCTTCCCCTTCATGTCAAGCCACTGTCATCTTGAGTCCAGGGACAATTGCAATTTGCCTGAATTTTTTAAGTTCTTTTTATGTCCTGGTGCACAAAAAAAAGAAACTGATTTTTGGGGCTTTTTCAAAATCTATGTGGAACATGTTGAGTTTTGTGAATTATATGGAAGTTCCTCAGTTCTTCAAATCTTGCCATGAGATATGAAAGACTCAATATTGGAGCAATGTTTTGTGACTGAGTCACATCTCTGTTTACCCAAAGTTTATTGCTGCTCACATTTTTTTTACTGTTTGAGGCTCTACCCTGTTTGTCCAAAATCTGTTGCTGCTATTGACCAATGAATATATTTATTCACGAAACGATTGTCCATTGTGTATGCATTTCGGCTACCGAGAAAGAACATGAACTCATTGGCGTTTGGTAATATGAATTCCAGTTTGAATTCAGCATGAGTTAGGATTCGGAGTAAAACTTTGGGAAGTATAGTATTTGTTGCATCAAATTTGCATGTTTTTGGAAGTGAAAAGAGGAGTAATAGCAGTTATAATTCCATAAATAATTCCAATCTGCCTACATGTTTCAAATATGTGGGTAATGAAGAGTCAGTGCAGCAATTTTCCTGTTTAAGTGAACGAGAGGGAACGTTGCTGCCGGTAAATCTGCTTGTCTGAGAATCGCAGTTGCCATCGGCATTTTTCAGCACTGTCGGCTCTTGGTGGAACCTAAAGGCTTTCCTATCGGTTTTTTGGAGCATAATTGTTTGAGGAATTCTTTAATCAGCTGGTTGTGGTTATAGAGAAAGATTCTGCAGAAATTTTATTTTTATATGCTATGGAAATGTTTCAGTGACCCAATGACTTCTTCCCCTCATTTCCCCCTGATCCATTAGAGCCCATGGGATCTTTGAGATCATTATGAACCTCGTTCAATAGCTGTTAACTGATCGTATTTCTGACGCTTCACATTTCCTCAGATGCATTAATTGTAACGTTGTTGAAACAAAAAAAGTTAATCGCATCCTGTCACGAGTCGTAACGCATGTCGCCAAGGATCATCGACAAAGAGTCTCGATGTTGGCCAGACGCGAGGCGAGAGAGGTGCCATCTCGTGGCTGCCCGGGAAACACAAAACCAATTAACCTAATTATCCATTGAGAAGTAGAAAAAAAAAGTAATCCAGTAAACTTATACGGCCGCCACAACAAAGACGCTTTACGTCCTCTTAACGACCGTTTCTGGAAACTAGAACTTTCGTTTAGCATTCAAAACTTCTCAAAGTTTTTATGAGAAGTTTAGAGTCGTAAAATGATTCATATCACGGTGGCAATGACTTATTTTGCAGTATCGCCACGAAAATGTAATTTACTCCAAATTACATTATAAGAATTATGATGAACATCATTACAAGTCCCAACAACCCCCCCTCCATTCGCTGTAATGTACTTCCAAATTCCATTCATACAATTTCATCACTACGAATCTGCATGAAGCACCCAGCTATCGGCGTTGTTTACCAGTGCCCAACAATCCCAACAGCGAGCGATAAGAGAAGTTATCAGGGAATATACCACTGTCCCCCCCCCCGTCAAATTCGCGTCATCGTCGAGATATCCTCCCCTTACCACAGCAGCCAGAGAGCTGAAATCGCGAGGAGATGCCTCGACTGCACTTGAAGACCGTCCTCCTCTGTGCCTTTGGAGTGACCGCTGTGATGCTCCTGGTCAACAACAGCCAGGAGGTTCGTGAAGGTTCGGCTGCGCCCTTTCCAGTCGAGTACGAAAGGGACCATAGCGCAGGGGAGATTACACCTTTCGGGGAAGACCTCGCGGAACCTTCAGAAAACGAGACTGATTCCAGCGAATCGTGCGACACGGGATTCAATACCTCAATACCTCTGGCAAGCCGTGGTGGTTCTTCAGACAGGGATACCTTCGCCCGCTTCCCGGAGCAGTCAGTGCCCATTCCTTGTTCCCTTCTCGTCAATCTTGCGGCGATCGAATCCTCAACCAACTAATGTACTGCGAAGAGCAAGAAGACGAAAGCACGACGGTGCTGAAGACCATTCTATTGCAAGACGGTTGGCCTGGGATTCAACTGGGTCGGGAACAGTTTCTGAACCAGCAGTGCCCTGTGAATGCCTGCAGACTGACGACGAATCAGTCCGAGGCCGCGGATGCAGTGCTGTTCGGCGGTCGTTTGCCTCGAGCAGAAACTCCCCGGTCGAATCAGCTGTGGATCGCGAATCTCTTGGAGAGTCCCCGCAACCTCAGACGCTATGGATTGTCCGACGTCGACTGGATCGCCTCGTACCGGCGCGACAGCGAGATCGTCACGCCCTACGAGAAGTGGGTGTACTACGATCCAGACGTGAAAGTTAAAACTCAGAGCAGGAACTACGCCAGTGGGAAGACGAAAAAAGTGGCATGGTTCGTTTCCAACTGTCGCACCAAGAATCGAAGAATGCAATATGCCAGAGAATTGGCGAAGCACATCGAGGTGGACATTTACGGGGGGTGCGGGTCCCTCAAGTGCCCTCGCTCCGATGAGAAATGCTTCAGAATGCTTTCCGAAGACTACAAGTTCTACCTGTCCTTTGAAAACTCCAATTGCATCGACTACATCACGGAAAAGTTCTTCGTGAATGGACTTGGGTGAGTCAGTGTTGGAAAATGTTCTGTTCCACGTTCTATAATAAATAACTTGAATACTGCATGTAAGAAAATTCTGCCCGAATTTTCCAGATTTAATCTGAAGTGTTCTGCAGCTTTCTGGGGAAATCCATACTTCTGCTGGCATTGCATTTTTCCGAACTGGATATTGCCCATTCATTTCATATTTCATTCGCCGGGTCACGATCACAACGACGAGATTTATCATTATAGAAGCCATTTACAGCATTTCTTATCGATTAAAGCAATTCAGTAGATAATAGATAATATATATTTAAGTGTCTCAGGATCTCTTAATGCACAAATTCTGAGACCCGCTGAAGATCATTTTCAGGCTAGTTCAGTGATCCACAAAAGAAACACATTTTGGATTTTACCATGGAAAAAATAGCTTAATGCCATGGACGCTGTGTAGTATGTAGCTCATCCGGTAGCAGTGGAGGCCGGTGAATTTTGGGAAATTTCGTGAACATTTATTTTGCAGGAATGACATCTTGCCCATCGCAATGGGCGCTCGTCTGGAAGACTACGAAAGAGCGGCGCCGAAGAATTCCTTCTTGCACGTGGACAACTTCAATTCTACAGAGGAATTGGCAGCTTATTTGCACACACTGGACCAGAATGATTCCCTCTACAACGAGTACTTCCAGTGGAAGGGAACAGGAGAGTTCATCGACACCCGATTCTTCTGCCGGCTCTGCGCCATGCTCCACGCCAAAGACAAAGTCCCTTACAGCGGCAAGGGGCCAGAACTGGAGACTACAACGAGTACTTCCAGTGGAAGGGAACAGGAGAGTTCATCGACACCCGATTCTTCTGCCGGCTCTGCGCCATGCTCCACGCCAAAGACAAAGTCCCTTACAGCGGCAAGGGGTCAGAACTGGAGGCCTGGTGGGGAGGTCCCGGCGTCTGCAGCAGGGGCTCCAGGAGGAATCACTTTCCTTGGTGACTTTTTCCTCTCTCCATCGGCATGCCAAAATAAATTTTCCAGCCTAGGGATACCTTCCCTTAATGAACTCAATGCCCCTCTTCCTACCTCAGCGCTTCCTCGTCTCTCAGTTCCTGTTCATCTCTGAGCAATTAAGCTTAGCCTCATTTTCCTTTTCGTATTCAAAAAGATCCTGATCGTAGCCTCAACGCACGGGTTCCGCCCAACATAGACGCTCGCATAACCGGCTGGATCATTTCATATCAATCGATGCAAACTTGATTAACCATAACCACTAAAACTATAAATCTGCTGAATTTTAATGCGTAAAGCCAGGCAGTCATTACTTATCCCATGAGTTTTTTATTTCACAAATGTGGATATTTATATTTGAGATTTTAGAAAATGTCCCATTTCTAGCGTGAAATGTCCGCAGCAATTATGATTATGAATAATCATCTAGCAATGCGAATTTAAGGTCTCTCGTGAGCCATATTTGGCCAACTTTGGCCCTCAGTAACTTGGATTTCAGGTGCAGATAGATACGATCCTTCTGCAAGATGATGGAGCAATCATAATGGTTTCCTTTGGTTTCCCCGAGAGCCTGAAAGTTGAGAATTTCTTTTTTTTTTACCATAAAGTATAAAAAATATTAACTTAAAGCGCTCCAATCTTGATCGGATTTGCTCATTTATTAATACGCCCCTCTTATTAATACTTCATTAATATCATAAATCTACATCTTAAGTTGGTCTAAGGAGAATCTGAGGAACGGTAGTCCAAATGTTTATACCAAACTTTTTCTTTAAAAAAAAAAACTGTTATCGACGTTGTATTGTTAACGTATTGTATTGTTAACGTATTGTTAACTGTTATCATTTATCGACGACGCGTTTCCTCTGCCGCGCAGGTTCGCTCTCGGCTGCGGCCTGCTCTGCGTCCTTCCGGGCGATTCGTCGGGGAAGGCGCGGCCGCCGTCCCTCGCGCGCGGCCTCCTCGGCATCCTGGACTTGTGCGATGAAATTCTCTCATGTTTGATTGGGATTCTGTGATGGTTGATTAAAATTCTGTGATGTTTGATTGGGATTCTGTGATGTTTGATTAAAATTTTGTGATGGTTGATTAAAATTCTGTGAAGCTTAACTGAAGCTCTATGTTTGGTTGAAATTCTCTGATGTTTAAAATTCTGTGATGCTAATTTGAAATTCTGTGATGTTTGAGTGAGGTTCTTTGTTTGATATTCCCTGTTAGATTGAAATTCTCTGATATGATCTAATGTGTGAAGGATAAGCTTAAACTTGAGCGATTTAATCTCTCATCTTCCTCGTCTGCGCCATCTTTCAAGTTTTTTTGTTATTTATGAATATTATAAACACATTTTGTTCATTGTTGAGCCCTGAGAGTACAAACCTAATTTTTTTTAAACCTAATTCAAAGCATCTCGACTCCACCAAGTTACGTTTCTGCGCATCGAAATTTGGGCTGAATCCCGAAATTAATTTTCATTTGTAAGTTTTTTTTTTACCTATCGAATGTGTTTTTATCATTAGAATTCAAAAGCCTTTTCTACCATTTAATAGCATTTTTCTTCGTTTCATTTTCTTTGTTTGCTCCGTTTCGCGTTTAAAAAGAAAAATTATATCTCTCCTGATGATTTGCATAGGTCTTCATGCATTCGGAGACATTTGAAAGACAGGTCATGCGAACTTCGTGAACTCCCCCGAAGAGGCCATTCTGTCATGCAGCCCACAAAATAGCCCGATAGCGCCGGAATGACTCGTAAAATGCCCGCCGACACGCTGAGGCCCGACCATCACAAAGCGTTTTCGTCCTGCTTTGAGGGCTTTTGAGGCTTGCATCCTCCTCGTCCGCGAATCCCGCGAAAAGGACTTCAACTTCCAGGAAATGACGGCGTCGAGGAAGCACCCAGTGGAACAGAGACATACGGCCCTCACTAACGTCTTCGCTGATCCTCCACGAAGACATATGGCCCTCACTAACGTCTTCGCTGATCCTCCACGAAGACAGACTGTTTCCCGCTACGGTGAGTCCTTTGATACTGCAAAAAGTTGGTTCATTAAAAAAGGGTCTGCTAGGCCGTTTCCCGGACCTGTCAGTGCTCAGTCCTTGTTCCCCTCTCCTGATGAACGAGGCGAAGATCGAATCGTGAACCAGTTGATGTACTTCCAAGAGGACGAAAACGCAACGAAGCTGAAGACCATTTTCTTGCATGACATATGGCCTGGGATTCCCCTCGGCCAGCAACATTTCCTGAACCAGCAGTGCCCAGTGAATAAGTGCAGATTGACGAAGAATAACGCGGACGTTGCGGATGCAGTGCTGTTCAAGGGTCGCGTGCCTAGAAGAACAACGTTTCCTCGTCGGGGCAAGCTTTGGATCGTGAATATTTTGGAAAGTGCCTTCTTCTCCATGAATTCAGGTTCGGGGGGCGTCGACTGGATCGCCTCGTACCGGCGCGACAGCGAGATCGTCACGCCCTACGAGAAGTGGGTGTACTACGATCCAGACGCGAAGGCCAAAAACCAGATGAGGAACTATGCGAAGGGGAAGACGAAGAAGGTCGCGTGGTTCGTGTCTCATTGCCGCACGAGGAACGGAAGACTGGAGTATGCCAAGGAATTGGCGAAGTACATCGAGGTGGACATTTACGGCGAGTGCGGCACCCTCAAGTGCTCTCGTTGGGATGAGAAATGCTTCAGAATGCTTTCCGAAGACTACAAGTTCTACCTGTCCTTTGAAAACTCCAATTGCATCGACTACATCACGGAGAAGTTCTTCGTTAATGGGCTCGGGTGAGTTGACGTCTCTCAGAGAAAACGGGGTTCAACACGCAATCGCGACTCGGCATTTCTTACGATCACTTCCCTCGTCCTTCTCTGTGTAATTTTGTTCTGTAGGAGATGAAATAATTTAATCAAAAGTTTTTTTTCCATGATACCGGGAAATGGAAGAAGGGGTTATCTCATTCATATGTGGCAATCGTGGACGGCTACCGTTCGCTGTCATAGCCGAAAAGTGCATTTAGAAAGCTTTTGTATCATCTCCTCTGTAATTATCTTCCATCGCCCTCCTCATATGCGTCCAATCTCACGAACGCATCTTTTAGAGGTCAACAGAAGACCATTGGTTCTAATGATTCTCCATGAAATTTTCCGTTCGCAATCCGCCATTAAATTAAAGCATGTTGCTCTTATTCACCGCTCTTTTGGAGTTACAGGAAATAGCCTTCTTGCTGGCTAGCTAACGGAATAGTTTGAAAGACGAGTAACAATGAACGCATTTTTCAACTGATGTTATTTTTAGGCACGTCTTTTTGGAGATTTCCCCAAAGAAATGTATCAGTAGGAAAAATTACGCAAGCTCGATGTTGTCTTGTTTTGGACCCGTTTGTCCGCACGTATACGTACAATAGCCAAACCCGCCGGGAGAGTAACGAAGAGTCTCATTACTCATTACGCAGATATCATTTCTAGTTCTCTAAATCGTGAAACACGCCGACGTGACCTCGACTTTTCACGTCAAGTCGCGTGTCCACGGGATCCATGTCGCACCAGCAGAACCCAGGATATTCTTGTGAAAAGAATAATGAAAAAAATAACGCGAGATTAGATACTGTAGTTCTTATCTTTACAAGGTAAATTGCACCTGTAACTAATTACATTTTGCAGAAAGTGACCTTTGCCTGCAATTTGTTACTCATAGAAAGAGTCTTCCCACCCCTGTTCATTGGTACCTTGACTTCGAAGGAATGACATCTTGCCGATCGCACTGGGCGCTCGTCTCGAAGACTACGAAAGAGCGGCACCCAAGAATTCCTATTTGCACGTGAAGAACTTCACTTCTCCGGAAGAACTGGCAGCTTATTTGCACAAACTGGATCAAGATGATTCTCTGTACAACGAATACTTCCGGTGGAAGGGAACTGGGGAGTTCATCGACACGCGATTCTTCTGCCGGCTCTGCGCCATGCTCCACGCCAAAGACAAAGTCCCTTACAGAGGCAAGGGGTCAGGAATGGAAGCCTGGTGGAGGGGCCCTGGCGTCTGCAATTAGGGCTCATAGCTCCATCCCCCTCTTTGAATAAAGATGCCAAAAGAAACTTTGCAGTTAAAGATAGGTTCCCATTTTTAACTTCGTGTTCATCGTCCTCTCTCACGCATTGATCTGGCTCCGTTGAATTTCCTCCCATCGCAATCATATTCATTTCTGCCAAATTTGTCCTTGACTTCGATTAGTTTCAGATCGCAGGCTTTTATTTTGTGGCACTCATATTGTTTTCATTGAGTGAAGAAAATTGCCATCTCCCTCTCTAGTTGTCAGGGATGAACATCTACACTAACTCACTAACTAACCTCTCTAACTGGTGCATAATTCACACTTTGTTTCATTAAATTTTGTTAAAAAATAAGAGTTCAAAGCATTTTGAAATAGGCAGTTACTTATCATAAACCCTATAGATCTAAAATAATATTTCCACCCATAATCCCTCAAGTTGAGACATTTCAAAAATAGGTTTTCTCTTCACCCAGCAATCCATCAGGTACTTCAACGCCAAGTTTAAACTTTCTGTCGCTCTGTTTTGTTCGATCATAAAAGATTCTGGAAAATGCGCCTTGTGCAAAAAAGTTAAATTTAGATAAAACCATTGCAGGGTTTTATCTAAAAAAATATATATTTTCTTTGACTGAAGTTGATACTGCGAAAACTACATACCCACCAAGTTTCAGCCTCATCCGTTTGCCAATTTCGCTGGTGCAAAAATATCATTGGAAAAGCCGACCCAAACAAAAGCCGTGTCAAGAGGGGATGCACCGCAAAAGTTGTGTCACGTCGGATATGTTTGTGCCGTGTTTCACCTTTGTTTTTCAGCCCAATTACAAGGACAAAAATAGTTATTTGAAAACATCACCCCCCAAAAATATGAACTCCAATGGAATTTACCTATTATTAAATAATATAATTCAAGGTATTTATTGATGGATTGCTTTCTGTTACAAAACGACGCATTGCCCATCGCCATGGGCGCTCGACCGGAAGATTACAAGCGAGTGGCACCGAAAAATTCATATTTGCATGTGAAGAATGTCACTTCTCCGAGATAACTGGCAGCTTATTTGCACAAACTGGACGAATATGATTCCCTGTACAACAAATACTTTCAATGAAAGGGAACAGGGGAGTTCATCGACACCCAATTCTTCTGCCGGCTCTGCGCCATGCTCCGCGCCAAAGACAAAGTCCCTTACAGAGGCAAGGGGTCAGAACTGGAGGCCTGGAGGAAGGGCACTTGCGTCTGTGTCCAGGGATTCTTTGACGAATTTCTCTACTGATAAAGTATCCACCTTGTGAGCAATACAATCCTCAAGAGACTCTTGAACAACAATGAATTCTATCCCCCTCATCTAATCTCAATGTTTCCCTGTTTCTCTGATTTTTACAAATTTCAATCAACATTTTTGTCTCCTCTTTCGCATTCGAAGGCACTACATTCGCAGTAGCGAAATCTTAAAGTGAATGATTTCATGCCGCAGAAGCGCTGGATTCCCCGAGTGTTTCCACCACAATTAATACCTGGAATACCATTGTTTCACGAAACAATGGAGATGAGGAAGTGCTAGTCCCGCGATAAGATTGAAGTCGATACTTATATCATTTCAAAGTAAATACTCCCGATTCCATCGAAATCCATCTGATGGAATATTGCGTGAGATCCCATCGCAATCATATTCATTTCTGCCAAATTTGTCCTTGACTTCGATTAGTTTCAGATCGCAGGCTTTTATTTTGTGGCACTCATATTGTTTTCATTGAGTGAAGAAAATTGCCATCTCCCTCTCCAGTTGTCAGGGATGAACATCTACACTAACTCACTAACTAACTTCGCTAACTGGTGCATAATTCACACTTTGTTTCATTAAATTTTATTAAAAAATAAGAGTTCAAAGCATTTTGAAATAGGCAGTTACTTATCATAAACCCTATAGATCTAAAATAATATTTCCTCCCATAATCCCTCAAGTTGAGACATCTAAAAAAAAATAGGTTTTCTCTTTACCCAGCAATCCATCAGGTACTTCAACGCCAAGTTTAAACTTTCTGTCGCTCTCTGTTTTGTTCGATCATAAAAGATTCTGGAAAATGCGCCTTGTGCAAAAAGGTTAAATTTAGATAAAACCATTGCAGGGTTTTATCTAAAAAAATATATATTTTCTTTGACTGAAGTTGATACTGAGAAAACTACATACCCACCAAGTTTCAGCCTCATCCGTTTGCCAATTTCGCTGGTGCAAAAATATCATTGGAAAAGCCGACCCAAACAAAAGCCGTGTCAAGAGGGGATGCACCGCAAAAGTTGTGTCACGTCAGTTATGTTTGTGCCGTGTTTCACCTTTGCCCAATTACAAGGACAAAAATAGTTATTTGAAAACATCACCCCCCAAAAATATGAACTCCAATGGAATTTACCTATTATTAAATAATATAATTCAAGGTATTTATTGATGGATTGCTTTCTGTTACAAAACGACGCATTGCTCATCGCCATGGGCGCTCGACCGGAAGATTACAAGCGAGTGGCACCGAAAAATTCATCTTTGCATGTGAAGAATGTCACTTCTCCGAGATAACTGGCAGCTTATTTGCACAAACTGGACGAAGATGATTCCCTGTACAACAAATGCTTTCAATGAAAGGGAACAGGGGAGTTCATCGACACCCGATTCTTCTGCCGGCTCTGCGCCATGCTCCGCGCCAAAGACAAAGTCCCTTACAGAGGCAAGGGGTCAGAAATGGAAGCCTGGTGGACGGGCCCTTGCGTCTGTGTCCAGGGATTCTTTGACGAATTTCTCTACTGATAAAGTATCCACCTTGTGAGCAATACAATCCTCAAGAGTCTCTTGAACAACAATGAATTCTATCTCCCTCATCTAATCTCAATGTTTCCCTGTTTCTCGGATTTTTACAAATTTCAATCAACATTTTTGTCTCCTCTTTCGCATTCGAAGGCACTACATTCGCAGTAGCGAAATCTTAAAGTGAATGATTTCATGCCGCAGAAGCGCTGGAGTCCCCGAGTGTTTCCACCACAATTAATACCTGGAAGGGGTTGTTTCACGAAACAATGGAGATGAGGAAGTGCTAGTCCCGCGATAAGATTGAAGTCGATACTTATATCATTTCAAAGTAAATACTCCCGATTCCATCGAAATCCATCTGATGGAATATTGCGTGAGGAATTGCTATCTCCCACTCAAACGAGTGGAAGATACTCGGTGAGAGTCGACTGACTTTCTCCTCAAAGGTGAAAATTCATTGTTTTCCATTAAATATCGCTCCACGATACAGGGAACAGAACGCCTGAAGCGCGTCCATAAATTTTTAGTAAATTAGGATCTGAAAGACAGGATTGAAAAATTGAACTTCATCAAGACCAGGCCTTCTCTGATCATGAAATAACTCGTGGACTTCGACATTTTGTCTTTTTTCTCTTAAAATAATAAATTGCTTTCTTGCTGAACGAATGCCCTTAGTTTTAGTCCTTCTGTCTGACCTTCAAGCTCTTAACATTAAAAGATTTTAGTTGCCCCGAAGCAGCGGTTCAAAATTTGAAGTCAATTTCGACTACATGAAAGAAACCCACGAGCACGTGAACAGTTTTAACTTTCGATCTGAACTTCTGTTTCTGCAGAGAAGAACTATTCCGTTTCGCTTTTAATCCCTGCCTATTTTCATTAGAAGAGAAAAATGTTCCGCCGCCCGCGATCATTGGGCTTGCGGTCTCCTCGGACATCAGCTGCCTTCCTTCGACTTGTGACTGGCTGCTATGAAATGAAGGTGATCGAAGTCCGCTTTTGAAATCGGCATCTTCCATCCCGGCGAATGATGAACGTGGTCTGCGGACTGAAACATATGCAATGCATTGGTTTGCAGTGGAGTTAGTTGATCCATTCACCAAGATGATCTAATCGTAATTATTTCAGATTATTCCAAAAAACCAAATTGATATAAGAATGCCATTTCGGCTGTGTACTTGATTTTAAAAACATTGGAATTTCAGACTCACCTCCTTTAAACGAGTTTTTTTTTTAAATTTGGATTCGCTCGTCTGTCAGAGACGTCATAATGCTGAATGCCTATCGTCCAGGAGCGATAAAAGGACTTCTTATCAGCGCAGCAAACACACCCTGCCTTTTCCCTCAGTCCACGTCAGAGTTTTAGAGAATTTCCTGAATCGCCCTTAGCTCTCTCCAACGACAGCAGTAAGGCGGAAATCACCGAAATGAGAGGTAATTCACTTCCCATTTTTCCAATACCGAATCGCTTCTACCCCCGATTCATCGATGAAATTATTTTAGATTGCTGGCGAAGCTGACATGCCCAAAGCCATCAATGAAGCTGCAAGTTACTTCAGAAGTCGGGAATTAAGGTCGAGAGAAAATGCCTCGATTACACTTTATGTATGTGCTTCTCTGCGCAACTGGGCTGATGACGGTTTTCCTCCTTGTCCTACACCACAACGTTGTTCGTGAAGGTTCGACTGCGTATAGTTCCTTCGAACTCGACCGTACAAGGGATATGTACCTTCAGGGGGGGATAGCCTTGAGTAAAGGCTCTCTTCAACTCTTACAGAATGAGGATGATTCCCGTGTTTCCTTTGAGGAGGATTTGAAAACTTCGGGGAAATCATGGTGGTTCTTCAGAGACGGGTCCATTCGGCCGCTTCCCGGCGCAGTCAGTGCCCAGTCCTTGTTACCCAACCCCTATGAATCCGACGACGATCGAATCCTGAAACAACTAATGTATAGCGAAGCGCAAGACGTCGAAAATACGATGAAGCCGAAGACCATTCTATTGTATGACGTGTGGCCTGGGATTAAGATGGGTCAGGAACAGTTTCTCGATCAGCAGTGCCCTGTGGATGCGTGCCGACTGACAATGGACAACTCAGAGGATGCAGATGCAGTGCTGCTCAAGGATTTCGTTCCAAGAAAGATAATGGTTTCTCGCCATTCCGGTCAGGTGTGGATCGCGAATCTCTTGGAAAGTCCTCTCAACTCCGGAATGTCCTGGTCAAAGGAAGCCAACTGGATCGCCTCTTATCGACGCGATAGTGAGATAGTCACTCCTTACGAGAAGTGGGTGTACTACGATCCGACGGTGAAAGCTAAAACTCAGACGAGGAACTTTGCGGAAGGAAAGACAAAAAAAGTGGCATGGTTTGTGTCAAATTGTGTTACCGAAAACCAAAGAATGCAGTATGCCAAAGAATTGGCGAAGCACATCGAGGTGGACATTTACGGGGGGTGCGGGTCCCTCAAGTGCCCTCGCTCCGATGAGAAATGCTTCCAAATGCTTTCAACAGACTACAAGTTCTACCTGTCCTTTGAAAACTCCAATTGCATTGACTATATCACAGAGAAGTTCTTCGTTAATGGGCTTTGGTGAGTCGTTTGGAAACAACTGCTAATTTTATTGTTGAACATTTAAACCACGTTGTGATACTCTAATTCATTCACTTTTCATTTCCCCGGCTTGCTCGATCTGGGAAATATCAATATAATCTTGGGCTTTTATTGGACCTAGATACATATCTAGAATGAATGCATGGATCTTTGAAACTGTTATTAGGAGGATTAATTGTATAATTCGGATGTGTCCATAATAGTCTGAGGTACAGCTGTAACAGAGATGGCATATTATAAATGGACTTGAAATCAGGTAGTATAATGCCAAAAACCCTTGTCGGAAAGGTCTCCATTTTGCTCCGAATCCATCCGGAACGAGCATTTAGAGTCACATACATGAATAATTCGGGAAGAGTGTTGTGACAATATCCGTGTCGGTCTTAGGACACGATCACGATCAGGAAAGTTTTCGCTCTCCCGGACGGCCCCAAATTTTCGTGTGAACAACATTACTTACCGTTATCCACTGGTAGCGCAGAAAAAGATGCTCTTCTGGGACGGAATGTGTAAGTAATAGGCACGATATACATGACAGCCATTTTGAGAATTCTGAAAAATCAATTAACCGCGTTGCACAGGAGTGTCTATGGTTAATTTATTAAAGAAACAATTTTGCGTCAAATGCTTTTAAGTACTCTATACATTCACGTATGGGAAACATTACTGGAAATTTAAAAAAATAAATGACTCTGATAACAATGGAAATCTAATTTCAGTCTCTTTCCTCTGCAGTAACGACATCTTGCCGATCGCACTGGGCGCTCGTCTCGAAGACTACGAAAGAGCGGCACCCAAGAATTCCTTTTTGCACGTGGGCAACTTCACTTCTCCAGCAGACTTGGCAGCTTATTTGCACAAACTAGACCAGGATGATTCCCTGTACAACGAGTATTTCCAGTGGAAGGGAACGGGGGAGTTCATCGACACGCGATTCTTCTGCCGGCTCTGCGCCATGCTCCACGCCAAAGACAAAGTCCCTTACAGAGGCAAGGGGTCAGAAATGGAAGCCTGGTGGAATGGTCTTGGCGTCTGCAACAAACCCTCATGGATTAATCTCACTCACCCTCTATAAATGAAGATCCCAAAAGAATCTTTCCAGTCCCAGATACTTCCCATTTTTTAACATCATGTTTATCGCCCTGTCTCACACTTTGATCCTGCTCCATGGTTATTTCTCTCCACGCCTTTACTTTGATTTCTGCCATATTTTTCCTCTATCGCTTTCTGCGAATTTTTGCACCTATGGAGCTAAAATGCGTCGATTCATTTATGTTACTCGGTATGTTTCAAAGCAGAAAAAATATCGTGAATGTTATTTGACATTATTTTAACGTGGAATCATGAACATCTGATTAGCAATCATTGTCATTCCCACGTACTGATGTGGTACGACAAAATTTATATTGACAGGAGTTTCTGAAGCCAGGACTTAATTCTATCGTCTGGCGATGAAAATCGATATCTTCCTCTCCAGTTGTCTGAAGGAACGTCAACATTTGTTCCACTCCGAGCATCAATGACCAATTGCCACTGAACTGAACAAACTTTTCAGAAGAATCTGGCGAAATCATTGCGAGAGGCTATGCTCAAATAAGTAAATCTGCTATTGCTGCTCATTTCGAATGTGGGATTGTCTTCAGAATAAAGACAAGGATGGGACAGGATGACGTGGCAAAATGGAATCCGCCGAAAGTAATGAAAATTTTCTTAGTTTCTAGCACGAGCGAGAACCTAATTGCTGATGATCGACTACCTCATACTCCAACTTTTCACCAGTCTTTTCACCAGTACGTATTAACGCACCAGCTGACACCATTACGGATCAGCTGCGGCAAATGGTCTATGGCTGCCTTTTGTGTCAATGAAATGTAGCTCCCTCACGCAATGTTCTGCAGCTTCAGCAACAATTGCCAACGATGTCGACGATTGCCGGCATGCTGGGCGACTTTATCTTTAGCCTTTAAAATACCAATATGGAATATATTCCATGCTGAACAGTTCATCATGCAACGTGGCGTATTAGATAGCCTGTTGAGTAATAACGCAAACAAGTTATATCACCGTGGTCTGGAAAAATACCTCCATTATGAGCCTTTCATTTCAGATTGATATGTAAAGAAAATGCTGGAAATATTAATTTTTTTATCATGGTAAGCCCTTACAGGGATGAAGAGGGCATTTGAATTCGGATCGTAAGGAGACCAAGGCATTAAAAAACCCGAGTATTTTAAAGGTTAAGAAGAACCTGTGCACCAACAAACAGAACAGGGGAGACTGATCACCTTTTGGACAAGGCCTCATTCTTCATGGCGCCGGCGTTTATGTACATGATGAAGTTACAGCGCCATGAAGGAATGAATAAAGGTACAGCACTTCTTACCATGTTCATCGTACGTTCTTTTACTTCGTGATAAGGAGAGTTAACGTAATGATTTGTAATACCGTTCCCTTGTGATCAACGTATCCGCAAAGGATCCAAGACGCTCATGTACCGAGGCGTCAGAAAAGTCCACGAAGTCGCGCATCATAGGAAATAGTTTATTTATTTATTTATTGTATTTAAGACTTTACAAACAGGTGGATCGGTCGAAGAGGAACTGCGGAGTGGGCACCAAGATCCCCAAACTTAAATCCCATAGATTTCGCTGTCTTGGGATATTTGAAATCGCGAGTTTTATTCGGTGAAAGTAACAGGTTTGGAACATCTCAAGCGACGAATTCGAGATGAAGTCAGCATTATGTTCAGCAGCATTTAAAGAAACCTGCTTTTCCGTTTCCAAATTTGTTTTGAGATTTGGTGGGACGCGTTTCGAACAATTGATGTAATCATCCTTACAAATAAATGTTTTCACTTTGCGGACACCCTGCAGATTGCAATAATGGCATTCCCAAATGCCTAGACCTCGCTTCAATCACCTTGGTTGGACTGAAACGCACGCCGGATTTAGTTGATTTCGCAACACGCCGCCGAGATAATAGCCTTATCGTTGGAGGATGGGCGCCGAGTGCGGCATCAGACCGATTTCCCATTCGAGACCCATATCCATGCCGGACTTTGCTTTGAAACTTCGATCGAGGGAAGAACGACCGAGGAAGGGGGGGGGGGGGGCACCATGTCGATTGGGATTTAGCGAGATTGTGACCTCGAATCAAGCAACTCTTCGATTGTGCGGCTTGGATGTGGATACCTTGTTGCAGACGAGCGGGTCGTCGAAACGCTTCGAGTCACCACGGGAAGCTGGAGAAAATCTGAGGAGCAGAACACGAAGGCGGTGAGATGTCTCAAAAGCACTTTAAACAGGGCTCCACCGATGGCAACATTCGGCCGATCATGATCTCATACCTATCGACCGGTCCTGGTGGTTCTAGTGACGTGAGGAACAGCGAATAATCATTTCACCAATTCTTTACTTATTTTTTCAACTAACGCCCATGTGGAAACCACGTTCTATTTTATTAGGGTTGCCACGCTGGGTGTTCTGAATGCATCCGTGTATAGACCTAAAACATCGATGGTGCATTGATGCACCCCGGGGGGGGGGGGGGTTTCCCGAGAAATCTCTGGAATAACCCTCCAGAATCGTTATATGGTCATGCTACTTGCAGTTATGATGCATATTCGGGTTAGTTATGGTTTTCCTTCAAACACGGGTCATCCCCACGGTTCCCAACACTCGACAGTGCCCAATCTTTGTTCCCCTCTCACGACGAATGTAGCGACGATCGAATCGCGAACCATCTCGTGGTCCGAGGATGAAAAAGCCAAAATCGCGTCGAGGTTGAGCGCCATTCTCTCTCAAACGCAATCAACCACCTTGCGATGGAGGAATTATCAGTGGAAGATAAGTTTCGATTGCTTTGCTCCCTCAGCCCCACAGATGTCTTTCATCTCCACCCACTCCTGTACATCAGAACGCAGGGGGGCGAGGAAACTCGGCGATTCTCGAGATCGCCTTCTTTGATGGAAAATCACCTACTCGGTGAAGCACCTCCTCTGTGAAGCACCTCCGTGAATCACCTCCTCCGTGAAGCACGTCCTCCATGAAGCACCTCCTCTGTGAAGCACCTCCGCGAAACAACTCTTTTCTCATTTATAGTAAGCATGTGGAAGCAGGAATACATCTGAGAAGCGAAGAGAAAATCGGCGAGTAGATGCCTCGAATCTATATGAGGCATGTTCTCCGCGTCGCGGGAGTGGCATGTGTCCTGCTCCTGATCCACCAAGTCCGTGAGTTCAGCGAATTCAGGGCGGGTGAGAGCGTCATGGGTTCATCGGCGCGATTGTGGTGGTTCTTCAGCAATGGATCTTTAAGGCCTTCCCCCGAAAGAGTGAGTTCTCGGTCTTTGTTCCCGTACACCTGGGAACGCGGCGACGATCGAATCGTAAAGCAACTCATGTACTCCGAGAGGCAAGGAGACACGAATGCGACTAAACTGAAGACGATTCTCTTGTATCATCGAGAATGGAATGGAGTTCAATTGGGTCGGGACCATTTCTTGGATCAGCAGTGCCCCGTGGACACTTGCAATTTGACTATGGAAAGGACCGAGGCTGCGGACGCAGTGCTCTTCAGAGATCGCGTCCCGCGTAAAGTGGGCTTTCCACGCCCGTCGAGCCAGTTGTGGATCGCTTACGTGTTGGAGCCCCCCCAAAAAATCCGAAGAATCTCGGAAGTGGCGAACGCCAACTGGACCGCCACCTACAGGAGTGACAGCGAGATCGTCACGCCCTACGAGAAGTGGGTGTACCACGATCCCGAAGTGAAAACGAAAAGCCAGACGAGGAACTACGCGAAGGGGAAGACGAAGAAGGTCGCGTGGTTCGTATCCAATTGCCGTGCCAGGAACAACCGACTGCAGTATGCCAGAGAATTGGCGAAGCACATCGAGGTGGACATTTACGGCGCTTGCGGCACCCTCAACTGCCCTCGTAAGGAGGGGAAATGTTTCGAAATGCTCTCCCAAGACTACAAGTTCTACCTGGCCTTTGAAAACTCAAATTGCAAGGAATACATCACGGAAAAGTTCTTCCTCAATGGACTCGGGTGAGTCGACGTCTCTCGGGAACGCGAAAGTCCTTGACGTGTTGCAGCGCCACGTTCATCGCATGGCTTTCATGGATTCTCATGGGCATATCTTTAAAACTCTTATCTTCCAAAGATACCGAGTAATCGGAGAGGTTATCTCAATTGCAGTGTGGCTTCGAACGTATTCCTCCTGTAAATATTCACGTGGGTTTTTCACGTCCGGCTGGAAGATTCACTTTTGTGGACTTTTCTTGAATACCTTTTTCTTTTCAGCGCCAAATATCTTCCGGAAACAATTATTTCTAATAATTCAAGCGAATTTAGACATCTTATTTTCAGCTGTTGTGAATTTGACTTCGGCAATTTTTTTTACGTCATGAACAGAATTCTGAGCCAACATTGACACGGAAGAAAACTATTTGAAACGCCTTTGTTTATTTCTCTGGGAGGACTTAATTATTTCGCCCAAAGACAATAAGGAAATCGCAGCTGCGATGGTACGGAATTTCCTGATTATCGCGAAACTCCGAATTTGCACAGAATCCAGCAAATACTATAGATTAGACTGAAATAAAATATGTCAAATAATAATGGCATACCGAAGTGGATTCCGTTTGTTCACAGGAATTCACACAACATGCTCCGTGCTGAAAATATTTTAGGAATAACCTACCTGCATTAATAAGTAAAAATTCATCCTGAGGCCAATATATGTAAAAATGTTGAGTAAATGAAGGTAAATCAGGAAAGTAGCAGCTCAAGTTGGCTCAAGGAATGGTATATTCATTTATTAGAAAGAAACCATATATTATTGGGACTCAGCGCACAAGAATTTTAGCCTTTGTTAAAACTAAAAATGGTTGCTGGCTTTCAATTAGGATCTTCCTGCTGATCAATGTCCAGAATTTCAATGGGAAAATGGAAATTTCCTATCATTGCTTCTTTGCAATGATAATGAAAATCGCTCTTGTTCAAAACAGAGTGAAACCTTTATGGCAAGTGCCTTGCAAATCGCAATGATGCCACCTGGTTTACATTACATTACATTAGGTCACGGTTAAAGATCACCTTTTCACAGAAAGGTAGAAGGGTGTTTCTCGGAAACGGAGCCGAGAGAAAGGGGAATGGTGTTGTCGTCCACTTCGAATGGGAAACATGTCAACATCATGAAACTTCACTTCTTTATTTTTCAATGGGACTGTCTCATTCTTCCCTGCATAGGGAGTTATGGGATTAACTTTCCATTGCTCTGAACTCGAATGAAGTTCGAAAAATCATTATTATGGGCAACTTGTTTTCATGAATATAATTCAAGGCATTTCAAACGTCATTTACGAAAATTTTTTCTTTTTTACAGGAACGACATATTGCCCATCGTAATGGGCGCTCGACCGGAAGATTACGAGCGAGTGGCACCAAAAAATTCATATTTGCATGTGAACAACTTCTCTTCTCCGGAAGAACTGGCAGCTTATTTGCACAAACTGGACCAGGACGATTCCCTGTACAACGAGCATTTCCAGTGGAAGGGAACAGGAGAGTTCATCAACACGCGATTCTTCTGCCGGCTCTGCGCCATGCTCCACGCCAAAGACAAAGTCCCTTACAGAGGCAAGGGGCCAGAACTGGAAGCCTGGTGGAGGGGTCCTGACGTCTGCGCCTAAGGCTCATGGAGGAATCCCATTCCCAATTTAATTTCTGCGTTCAACAAAAACTCCGGGAAAAACACATCCTTTAGAAATTATGCTTTCAAAAGTGAACTCCATGCCTCTTGTCCCCTCTCATACGGATCTTGTGACTCCTCGTTCTTCTGTTGATACTCTTCTCCATTTGACGCAATCGACACTTGCCATGTTGAAATTCTTCATAGCTTGTGATAGCGAACCGATCGTTTCCTTTAATGTTGGTCCACATAAGTTTCATTTCCGTTGCTCAATTTTTCGCTTTAGCGGAGAGGTTCCTTGGGTGATGTTTCTTTATGGAAACTGTTAAGATCGTCCTGAGACCAATCGGGTTGAACTCTGCAAGATGTACCGCTATCTCCCTGGAAACGATTGGAAAAGAGGAAGGGCGGGTACCGATCTTGGCTTGCGTCGGGAATCAACTATGAAACTCAGGGATGAAGTCGAGCATGCATTAAGATTACGAGGAACGTCCTTGATCCAGAAGCCAAAGCCGGTATCTTAATTGCATAAATAAAGTGGACGAGTACGAAGACGCCCAGAATCGGTTTTCGGTGCTTCTGTTCATTTCATGGATTACCCAGTTTTTCTCGCTGAGGTACTCATTATCTGACTCACATGGAGTTGATGCCTACGACCAGGGAGAAGTTTCCTCAATTTTTCCTTTCCCAGGGAAGCTGGGAGAAGGAAAGGAAAAATTGAGGAAAGTGCAAATATTTTTTGCACATGCTCGGAATTTGCCCTTTAGGACGGAAAACGAAGATGAAAGGTGCCTTGTCGACGCTGGCGCCATTTAAAAATAGAGAAGGATTACAGGATATTATTTTTAAAAATTTTGATGCTACCTTCCTTGTTGGCTGCAAAAGATGAGTCTAGCAACATTAAATTCATGATTCTCAAAACAATTGCTCTTTATCTCCGCTCACTTTATCTTCATGAATCGTTTAAAGCCTCATTTCGTCTCCAAAAACTCCGGCTCGTACCTCGAGATCAGGATATTTTTATGTGCGATTAATGGTTTCGCGAGGGTTGACGTCACACCAAACATTTCATCGGAGCGGTCGATATAACATATATTTAACGGGAATACATTTTAATATCGGCCGATGTTTCTTTTCTCCTCGGAGCTACATAATGCAATGGGCCATTTATTATTTATTAATTTCTTATTTGCTCTCTTGAATTTCTTCCACGGGAATCGATGGGACAGACGATGAGCGCGATTTCAGATTAATGAGAATTTATTTTAATTTGCCTTTAATTGGTAAGTTGCGTTTAACTAATTGCATTTAAGTTTCATGGGAAAAAAATTCCCAAAAATAAAATGCTGAATCTCTTGAACTTTGGAGGGGCTTCACCGCATTTAAATTTGATTTGGCAAACTAAAATTATGTTCTGTGCGGCGAAGGTACGACAGGGAACGAAGGTAGGTGCGCCCGGGAGTGTCTCATCAAGCGGATTCCGGTGCGATTTTCGGCGTTGCAAGGAAATTTTATTACTTTTTATTTTTTTTTTTTAGCACAATCACACTTTCATTCCCAATCAGCTTCTGTAACATTGGCAAAGAAAATCCTTCAAAAATAAATTTGTGAAATAAAATATCGGGTGACCATTAGGTATTCCTTCGGGCCAAATTTGGGCATGCATGCATTTGAAGCAAATCACAAGCAAATATCAGCAAAAAAAAATTAGGCGACAACAGAATAAAAAGTTGAGGTGAACGCAAACCTGAATACAGAAACGAAATAACATTTTTTGGCATTTCATGTTACGTCATATCTGAAAGGTCGCAGAAAAATTAAGAATTTCTCTCTCGAAGTCGATGCAACTTCAAAAACGAATTTCAATCTTTGATTCCTCAACAGCTCAGAGTGGAGCCTGGCGCCATTCCGAATCGATCGACGTTCGATTTTCGGACGAGCGTCCCGGCCGTGAGCTCGCAGGTGGGATGCCTTGCTCGCTGAACACAGTAGCACTAAGAAGCCTGCTCCTCCTTGAAATGTTTAATTTCCGCTCCCGCCCGAAACGTGTTATAATGGAACGTTGTCACGGGAAAGGTTCGTTGTCTGACTCTTTCCTCATTCGCACAATTGTAGCTAACGGGTAATTGCATGGGTGCCGGGCGAGCTATCTCAGAATTACCAATCACAGTTCAATTCAAATCACAGATTCCTTCATGGGAAAAAATGTGGCAAACTTTTTTAACAGCGCTCCGGAAGCAGAGGAGTGTTAGGAAAGGACAAAAGGCCATTCTCATCACTCTTGGAAAGTTTTCGTTGACTGCATTATTTTGTATGACAAACCAATTAATGGAATAATTCAACCTTTAGGAGCATCCCTCCACGAACCCCCCCTGCAAACGCCAGGACTCTGCCACAAGTTTTCCATCCTTGAACTGGAGGGCTTGTAAGGGAATTTGTCGATGGCGTGGATCATGGCGCAGATCCGGCAGAAGAATCGGGTGTCGATGAACTCTCCTGTTCCCTTCCACTGGAAGTACTCGTTGTAGAGGGAATCGTCCCGGTCCAGTTTGTGCAAATAAGCTGCCAGGTCTGCCGGGGAGGTGAAGTTGTCCACGTGCAAGAAGGAATTCTTGGGTGCCGCTCTTTTGTAGTCCTCCAGACGAGCGCCCATCGCGATCGGCACGATGTCGTTCCTGCGAAAGGATCCACCATGAATAACCTACATAGTCAGACTCCGACTCCATAGCTTTGGACAAGACACTCATTTCATTGGAGTACATTTTTTAATATATAAGAGTACTTTTCTTTCAGTTCAACTCAAGTTCGTAAGACATGATAATAATTCAACACCTCCCAGAATTATGACACCAATGGTGGATTTCGATGATCCTGCGGAACCAAATTGTTACATTTTGGGAATTTCAATTTCTTTTCGTTGATTGCTTGAACCGATTGCATTGGCTTCTTTTAAAGTTATTCTCACTGGAATAGCGCGAATTCTCGGAAATTTGTAGGAAATCCTGGAACGTTCCTGTCAAGGAAAAAGTGTCTCACGACACTTAGGGGTCACTTCACTGCTTCGACGCGTGGACCCTGAAATCGCTTTACTGTGCAATTATGAGAGCAACAATGAGAAAAAAAAATTCGGGGAATTCGTTTTTGAATCTCACAGGAATGCAAGTAGCATACTCGCAAAATTTAAGTAATGTGGTGCATTTCTGAGCCAAGACAAACCTGCTTGCTGAAAGTCCTAGCATTGATGCGTGAAATCTGTAGCATTTAGCTGGAAAGGTTTCTAAAGTAAATCGTACTTTAACTAATGGAAAAAGAAATCTGATTAACTAGGACTCGGGAAGTTGAAAATCTTGGAGGATTCTTGAGACTTCATCAGCTGGTGTGTTCCCCTTCTTCCTTGACTCCACCATTTCATTGAAAAATTGCAGGAAATTATATATCCCTGAAATACTAATACATTCTCGTAATGATATCCAATTCACTGCCATGATGCCCTCACCGGAGTTCCTCATTGGAAAGTTAGGTGCAGGTACTATTTTTTTTATTAGCTGATGGTTTCTCATGTGATGATTTCACATTTCATAATTTCTATTTGATTTTGATATTGGCTCCCCTGACTTCCAAAACATTGATTTACTTGATATTTAATTTCTTCCTTCGTTGGAGCTATTGCATGCAGTGCTTTCTGTAGAGACGACTGGCTGTGACCATGGTGTCTGAAGATGCATGCTAAGTTGATTCGCCTGCCCGCTTATCAAGACGTTTGTCGCCTCCTTCTCGGCGTCGAGGAGCATAATTCATACTCTGAGGTCCTTAATCGTAATGAATAGTTGAACGCTGTGTATGGACGCACGCCGTGTCGGTGCGATCGGGTGCCTGCATTTGCGTCCTGGATGCAAATGGACGTCTTTCCAGCGCTGAAAGTTCGCAAAATGTACGAAAATGAACAGGCCTTGTCAGCTTGGACGCTTCATTCAATGATGTGTCTCGTTCGTCATCATGATGCATGCATCATATTAGGCTGATGCATGCAACAAGTCTCAAGAGAATGGTTGATGCATGCTTGAAGAGTCTGGTGAATTATCCTCATCGATTATCCTCACGCTCAAATTCTCACTTCTCATTGAATTCTTGCACGCACCTTGTAGTTCGTGCCAGGAATTTCCTAATGTCGCTCAAACTCTTCTTAATGTCGCAATTTAATTGTCAGACAGTCAAAACATTGTTTCGAAAAAAGCTTTTGAAGAGGTAAATGCCATTCGAAGCCATCCTCATCAAACGACCTCTGCTGACCTTGGAATTAGTAAAGTTAACCGCATATGTTATAACCAACAACAGCAAATATTATTTGCAATGGCAGTGCATGGGCAGGATAACAGCTCTTGATTCTCATATGTGCTGCAGATGGAAATCAAGAGAAACTATATTTCAGTGCAAAGTAATGAGAGAGGTGAAAGATGCAACCTCAGTGGGAAGGCAAAATAATATAATGACATAGATACACAAAATAATGACAAATAATAATGTGGGCGTGTACTATATGAAGCAGACACACATATTTTATTGAAAAATTACAGCTTACCAGAGCCCATTCACGAAGAACTTTTCCGTGATGTAGTCGATGCAATTGGAGTTTTCAAAGGACAGGTAGAACTTGTAGTCTCGGGAGAGCATCTTGAAGCAGGTTCCATCCTCGCGAGGGCACTGGAGGGTGCCGCAACCACCGTAAATGTCCACGTCGATGTGCTTCGCCAATTCTCGGGCGTACTCCAGTCTTTGGTTTCTGGCACTGCAATTGGATACGAACCAAGCGACCTTCTTTGTCTTCCCTTTGGCGTAGTTCTTTGTTTGGGTTTTCGCTTTCACTCCGGGGTCGTAGTACACCCACTTCTCGTAGGGTGTGACGATCTCGCTGTCGCGCATGTAAGTGGCGGTCCAGTTGACGCTCGTCCCGCCCGAATACCCGGTGTGGAGAGGACTTTCTAGCATGTTCACGATCCACACCTGGCCCGACGGGCTACCGAGGTCTGATCTCTGAGGAGCGTTATCCTTGAATAGAACTGCGTCGGCGGGATTTGATTTATCCAGCGTCAGACTGCAGGTGTCCACCGGGCACTGCTTGTTCAGGAACTCCTCCCGACCCAGTTTGACCCAAGGCCAGCCGTTGTTATGCAGGAGGATCGTCTTCAGCTTCGCCGCGCTTCCCTCTTCTCGCCTCGGGGAATACATGAGCTGTTTCGTGATTCGATCGTCGCCGCGTCCGCCAGGAGACGGGAACAAGGACTCGGCGCTAATGGCGTCCGGCGGCGGCCTGGACGACCCGCGGTTGAAATACCACCACGACCCGGTCGTGGAGTCCGCTCCTGTGTCGAAATGACGAAAATCGTCTCGTTGTAATGGCTCTACAGCGATATTCGCGGAGGATTTTCCCTCCTGAACGCTGGGGACTCCCTCACCGCCGCTGCGAAATGCCGCGTTCGCGGGCCAGCTTTCGCGGAGGTGGGGCTGGCGACCGAGCAGGAATAAAACTGCAGTCGCGCCCGCCGCGAGGTAAATAACGTGTTTTCGTTGCAATCGAATCATCTTTCAGCATCTTCTCCGGCAACTCCGTCTTCTCCGGCTACTCCGGCTTCTCTGGTTTCTTCGGTTTCCTCCAGCCTCACTGACGATTCGCATGGAAATGGTCTCACCTAGCTGACGAAAGCCGACTGAAGTGAGCTTAATGGAAGAAAGTCATTTCTCATTGACGAAGCATGAAGATTTTTAAGAAACATTTTTTCGTAATTCATGACCTCCCATCCCATTCATCTGTGGGGTCCCAGATTAGCGGATTTTCTTCAACAGAATGGAGGGCACATTGAGCACCTTTTTAGTTGAAATGAACCTACCTGAACAAAATTGTGTATTTTCCTTTTCGGAATTTGTGCATTTTGTTTTTGTTCAGTTTTTGCAAGTTGTGAGAAGTTTTACGTTTAAAGAAAACATGAACTCTTACTTTTTTGGCGACGAAAGGTAAATTACGTGCCGTTCTTACAGTTTTTGGAATTTTGATCTGAAAAATAGCACACTAAACCTAATTGCGTCTCCCTATGTGCCTATGAAATTTCATCGGAATTGGCAGCCTGCAATCAGATTGACAACTCACCAAATACTTTTTTACTTTTTTTTTTTACTACTTTTTTTTTACTTTTTTTTTTACTACTTTTTAATGCTGCTTTTTTTGGCCCACCCTGTCATTCGTGTGAAAGTTCATGCATTGAGATGAGTTTTTGTTCGTTCTCCCGGACTTGTTTCCCTCCGACAGAGAGAAATTACATTTTATTGAAATAAATAATCCATGGGGAAAAAAATTGCGCCTCATTATTTATTATAGGTCATTTCCCTTGCCGGTCCTTATTCCAAATGCACTGACCTTCCACCCCACTAAACCGATTGACAGGCACACGATCAAAAGCAGTCGGTCCGCGCGCGGTCCTCACCAATTCGCCTGGCGGGACCACCTCCGAAATCACCTCCAATAGCACCTCCAAACGTACCTCCGAACGCACCTCTGAAATCAGCTCCAATAGCACCTCCGAAATCAGCTCCAATAGCACCTCCGAAATTACCTCCAATAGCACCTCCGAAATTACCTCCAATAGCACCTCCGAAATTACCTCCAATAGCACATCCAAACGTACCTCCGAACGCACCTCCGAAAGCACCTCCGAAAGCACCTCCAATAGCACCTCCAATCACCCCCCACGAAATGCAGCGAAGGACCACTTGCATCCCCAAGCGGCAACTCGATAAACGTTGTCCTAGCGACGTGCATTCGTTAAGCGGCCCGGTCGATCCTCCCCGCTACGCGGAAACTCGGGATCGATGCTCAGCTCGATCAGCTGAGCGATTTTTTTTCCGGCTTTTCGTGCGAGCGATTCCAATTATTTATGGCATTTTTAATGAATTGAGTTACGGAATTAGTTTCTACTAGTGCTGTAACCGAAGTATATCCTTTCGTGAGGAAATATATAAATGATGATATAAATAAGAATAAGTCAAAAATAAGGTAATTATTCATCATAATGATGAATAATAAATCACTCAGCTTCACTTTCTCTTCGGAGAATGACTGATTCGAGCTGATTTTTATTTATTTATCAATTTTTAAATTTTAAATTGGATAAAGGAAAAACCAAAGAAATGCAACAAACGGAACGGGAGCGATTAACGGTTTCCTTAAGAGGCGTGAAAACTGTTGAAAATGGCTTAAGCTGAAAAATGGCTTAAGCTGAAAAATGGCTTAAGCTAAAAAATGGCTTAGGGACCATACCGTCCTGCGATGTACCTTTTAATTTCACAAATAAATTGGCTGAATTGGTGAAGCGATTTTCTTTTAAGCGTGCCACTAACAGTAGTAAAATTAACGTTGCCGATTCGTCACCGCTTTTCGCGCAAGCGATTGCGACAGCCGAATAATTTTCCCGCACGCTGACTTTGCGACCTTCGCCACGTTTTCGCCTCCGCCAATTTTTGCGCGATTCGCCACAGCGCAGCCAATCCTTAAGGGCTCATGCCTTCCCTGCAAAATTCAAATCCGAAATTGGCACGGAAAAGGCCTGCTTTGGTGCGAATTCGCCACAAAATGAACTCAGCCTTTATCTCATGTCTATCACGTCTCCTTCCCTCGAGGAAAGTTGGTCCATTAAAAAAATAATGAAATAAATGAAATAAATGAAATAAATGAAATAAATGAAATAAATGAAATAAATGAAATAAATGAAATAAATGAAATAAATGAAATAAATGAAATAAATGAAATAAATGAAATAAATGAAATAAATGAATGAAGCCACCGAGCCAATTGCATGAATAGGGCGCTTGCAACTTTCGCGGAAAATTGTGATTTCAGAGCCGGAAAGTTTCATTAAGACGTCCGCTCTTTCCCCATGGACCCCCTCCGGACCAGCGGAATCAGGAGATTTCCACACTTTCTCCCTCCCTCAGTGCAGCTCCGCATCTTGAATAGCAAAAGCGGATGCTTGCTGGAATGGGATCTCTCTTTCCCGCGAAGGAAGATTGAGCCCCACGTCGAATTCCGCAATAATTAAATAAATGAATAAAAATGCGGAATTTCGCTTCGGAAGTCGGAGGTGCGAGAATTGGCACACGGCGAGATGTCGGTTGCGATTGCGGCGCTTATCGCGCCTGCGACTTGGACGCCTTTTGTTCTCGCCTTTGTCGCACAAGAGTGACGAAAGTCGCGGTTGGTTGAGACTTTCCTTTTGCAGCTCGGTTACGGTCCGGCTTTTTATCGCCTGCAATCTTCTCTCCAAGCGATTTCTTTCTTTCATCGGACTTGGCCGCCGAATATCATTTAATGGAAAATAGGCATGAGTCGACGGGCTTGGTTAGCGGCACCCGTCAAGGTTGTGGGCGAGCGCCCCACCAGGAAGGCGAGCGCCCCACCAGAAAGGAGAGCACCCCACCAGGAAGGAGAACGCCCCACCAGGAAGGCGAGCGCCCCACCAGGAAGGCGAGCGCCCCACCAGGAAGGCGAGCGCCCCACCAGGAAGGCGAGCGCCCCACCAGGAAGGCGAGCGCCCCACCAGGAAAGAGAGCGCCCCACCAGGAAGGCGAGCGCCCCACCAGGAAAGAGAGCGCCTAACCAATATGAGGAAGTGCAGGATATATCCAATCTTGCTTAAGTTAATGGCGCAAATCACGCAGACAAGGACACCCATAAGCGATTCATCGTTTTTCTGTTTAACGCACAGGCGATCCGATTGTCAACCCGTGCCCTCAGATGAAACTCCGCTTGCACTCTGAGTCTCTAACGACGGCAACCCGATGGCATCCCGTGAGGGAGGCTTCCTTCCTCCATGACTCCCTTCCCGAGACACAAGCAAGAGACGCTGTGAGCTATTGTAATGGAATATAGTTGATTGCGGGATGGAGAGTGAGACGACCTCCACCACATGCTGCGGCCGGAAGGACGTCCGCTCTACTTCATCCTCCTCCTCAAACGATGGGCCGAGTGGGGCCAAAGAACTGTCCTCATTTTCAATTTTCTATCCAAATATCATGCAGCGCCCGTTACGAAAAGATCCTATATGATTTTTGAATCATATAAGTATTATAGGATTCTAATAGGAATTCTATAGGATTTTTTCCGTCAGTGGGAATGCATACATTTGGAGCCTCTCCTCTGTCTACACGACTTCACGCGGAGTCATCGCCGACGGATACCACGGCTTCTCCCGTCCGAATATTGTTCCTCTTCGTCCATCCCCTCCACCATGGTGAAGGACGCGCGAGGACGCAACGCTTCCGCTTCGGCGACTTCCGTCTCCCCGCGGCGCTCCACTAAAAGGAAACTCAGCGAATCCCTCGCTCAAGCTGCTGCATATAACTTTCGTTCGCTCTTTTTGCCGACCACAATGCCCTGTCCTCATCGATGATGCAATCCGCTCCAAATTGACGTCAAAGAAATCAGCCAATAGGAATACAGCGAACGGCGCAGATTCGTGCGCAAAGTTTTTAGCACGACTCCGATTCTCTCCTCTCTGCAAAAATTCCGTCAGGATCGTCATTGACGCGACCAGAGACGTTATGGAGCCATCATGAAAAACAATAATGGTGGAGAAGAAAAAGTAAATGCGTATTCAACTCGTAAATGCGTGTTGCTCATCGGCAAACGCGTGTAACGTTATGTAACGAAGTCGGTCCAATGGTTCACGATTCACAAGAAATTTCCTCTTTTACGTTCCGAGCGAAAATGTGGAAAAAGGTAAGCAAAATTAAACTGGCACGAAAAGCGAATCCCTTCGAAGGAAAAGGTAACTAATAACGATAACTAGATCTTCACCTTGGAAATACACTGTAGCTTGGAAAATGTGACGTATACACTGCATACATATTCATAGAAATGTTCATAGAAAAGTTCATGGAAATGTTCATGGAAATGTTCATAGAAATGTTCATATAATTTTTCATAGAAACGTTCATGGAATTTTTCATAGAAACGTTCATAGAATTTTTCATAGACATAGTGCCAGCAATATTTGATGAAAATAACGGTTTCTCCATCCTCACGAAATATTTAAAAAAATTAATATTCACAATCGTATTCGAATGCGCGACGATCTGAACAGTCTCGATTCGGCCAGAATATGTGTAGTCGAGAATATGCGTAATACGCATATTCTCAATGAAATCTGCATACTATGCAGATTTCGTGTCGTTGACAGAGCAGTTTTTGTCTGATTTGGCTGATTTTACCTGGAGTAAATAAGACTTCGATGGCGACTTGCGACCACTTTTCTTCATTTTTCATTTGATTTAATAAAAAAATATATAAAAAATGAGAGCGCCAATTTCGGAACGGAAATTCCTGCCCTTCCGGCCGTATCGGCCGAGAGGGAATTGGCTCTCGGACAATGGAGATGATTTCATGACCGAATTTCCTGACCGGTGATGCGAGGCCGAGGGGAAGCGGAAACGACGGGCGGGGCCTCTCTCCCGACCGGAAGTCAGAGGATTCGGAATGTTGGACTGGAGAGAACATAATTAAACGATATAAAAATGTTTTTTTTTTTAGAACAAAAAAAAAAGTTTTTTTTTTTAGAATTAAAAAATTACTTTTTTTAAATAAGAGAAATAATTTTAAGAATTAAAACGTTTTTTTTTTAATAAATAATTTTTAATATGATTTTTAAGAATTTTAAAAATAATTATTAGAATGTTAAAAGAAAATATGAATTATTTATTACGTTTAGCCCTGCCGGGAAGAATCAGTCGAGGGCGGAATTCCGCTTGGGGAGAGTCAATGCGCGTGAATGGGTGAAAACCGGGAGGATAACGAGGAGGCGGTTCCGGGGACAACGCCCTGCCGCCGGGGGGGGGGGGGGGGGGGTCATGTCGCACCGCGGCGTGATGCCGCATACGGCGGCTGTTCTTCTCTGCACGCTTTAATTATGTGGCACTAATTATGTGGCACCGTTCATTATCTCTCCCCCCTCTCTCTCTCTAATGATGACTGCCACAGCTGGGAAAACATGCGATTGGGATGATTTGTCTTCGTTCTGGCGCTAAGTTTAGCTTGAAGAAAGCATGATCGCTGTGGCTAATGTATGAGGAGAATAATGGCACGATCTGCCGAAATGCAAAATTTGTCGCGCGAAACTGACCAAAATGTTGAGTTTGGCTGATTGAAACCGATATTGAAGTTGTCACCAGTAATCATATGTCGTTCGGAGTCAAATTTGAGAATTTGTAGAAAGGAGGGATATTTTGCAATATATACGAGAATGAAGACAAATTTGGCAACAATTGATTATAGCTGATATATGAACCAGTAATATGTTATTATATAGAATTGACTGGGGAAACCCCGATCGGCGGGAAAATGCCGTTCGGCGCCTTTATTCGAAGCACGAACGCATCACCGAGAAGCGTTCCTCCACGAGCCAGACTTGCAGACGCCGGGACCTCCCCACCAGGCCTCCAGTTCTGGCCCCTTGCCGCTGTAAGGGACTTTGTCTTTGGCGTGGAGCATGGCGCAGAGCCGGCAGAAGAATCGGGTGTCGATGAACTCTCCTGTTCCCTTCCACTGGAAGTACTCGTTGTAGCGGGAATCGTCCCGGTCCAGTTTGTGCAGGTAAGCTGCCAGGTCTGCCGGGGAGGTGAAGTTGTCCACGTGCAAGAAGGAATTCTTGGGCGCCGCTCTTTCGTAGTCTTCCATAGGAGCCCCCATTGCGATCGGCAAGATGTCGTTCCTGCAAAGAAAATTGAGTTCCAGTTATTTAAATAGTTGAGAGTCGATGTATGTGAATGAATGAAAACACTGAGGATTTATATATTTTCTCATCATTAAATTAAAGGTTCACTGGAAATTTCTTATTCCGAAGTGCTGAATAAAAAAATATGGATTTCTAACAATCTTCGATTCGCTTCCGTTCCTGTAGTATATAAAGAGTCGTTATAGGGGCAACGAAATACCCAGTTGGATAATATCCTTGGAGATGAGAGTTTTTTCCCGATGAGAATTTCCAATTTGTAATCTAACTTACTAATGGACGTTTTCTCCAATCTGCACCTCGACAAATCTCTAGATTTGTCATTTACCCGATTTTCTTCGCCTGAACGGACGGCAAAGTAAACCGAGACAAAGCGAATGAGAATCTTTCCAAATCCACGTCGACACAGTTAAATGTCATTTGTATGGGACCGGTGGATGTGAAATTCAGGAGTGACCCTATGCGACGCGCCCAAGTTGGGCCGACGTTGGATCCGGGGTTTGTTGGCCCCCAAGTTGGGAACTAATGTAAGTCCCTCGAGAGTTTTTCCCGCGGCCCCTCGTTGGACCAATTGGGTCAACACTAACGTTGGCCCGATGTGGGCCGCGTCAGCTTTTAAACGCTGACGTGGGAAATTCCTTTCATGCTCTTAGAAGAGGCCTGGAGAGGCCTTTTATTTGCCCTCAGTTTCATTCCTTTTCTTGTCGCCGGGTCCAGCTGGGAGCACCCTGGAGTGTTCTCTCCCACGAATGACCCCATCGGAAGCGTGCGCTTTCTTACGCGGAATTAGAATTCCCTTGTGATGTCATCCGTCACTCGTCTGGGCTCTCTCGCTCTACGAGAGCGTGTAGCGTGAGTTCCTGCCGGTGACCTCTTTAGCCAGACCGGGAACGGCATCCGCTGAATGGAATCCAATGCGATGGAATGTAGCTGTGAAAATTCCCATGTTGAAATATCCTCACCCCATGAAGTCAGGTCCTTTTTGTTCCATCCTCCACTATTACCAGGAGTCTCTCGGTCCAATTTCTTAAACAAATGCTAGGAGGAGTTCACTTTTTTTCCCTACGTTGCCAGCGGGAAAATATGAGGTAGCCCTTGAAAAGTACTGAAAGCAAGTCTCTACATGATACAACTGAAATCATGGTCATATGGCGCCACCTCGCGTCACTTGTGCGAACCTTGCTTCGAATAACATGACTCCCCCACGGACAGGACAGAACAGGACAAATGTCGCCTACTGAACTAACGACGAAGTGGAAGCAATAAAGACCGCCCACTTCGATGAGGGGCCATACTTCCCCCGCTCAATACCCACGTGTGCCCAACGCGGTATGCTACTTGGGAAAGCAGCATGAAGTGAAGCGGTGCAAATAAAGGGGGAAGCTCTCCTTTTCCTCCTTTCTTCCCTTGTCCTCCTTGCTCCCTTGCCCCCTTCCCCCCTTGCCCTCCTTCCCCTCTTGCCATCCTTCCCCTCTTGCCATCCTTTCCCCCTTCCCCTTTCCTCCCTGTATCTCGTGAGAGTGAGGATGCGTCGCGAAGCGGAACGTCTGATCAGGCTTGTTCCTGCGTCACCCTCAATTATCCGGTTAACGCGTGTATTGGATGGATGATGGAGTCGTGGCGAAACAGATGATGGCGGGTGCATTGCATGTCGGCTCCCCATCCCCCGACTTCGTTGTATCGGCGGGGCGGCGATGCGAGGATACAAAATGAAGGTTGAGGTTAAGAATCTATCTTCATGCCGACGGAATTTGATAAGCGACTGATTTAATGAGCAATTGATATGATGAATAATGGTTCCACTGCCGCGTGAATTTCGGAGCTCAATCATAAATAGGCATAATTTACAAAGGACGCAATAAAAGAGCATAAATGCCATTTACTATCATTTAGGCACTTCAGCCAAGGTTAGCTAAGCTATCTGCAACGGAAATAAGATAATATACCCTTCTCATTCTCCTTCCTACAAAGGGAAGCAAGAGAAAATTTCAGAGGAGCAAGGGAAATAATCAAAATGTCATCTGGAAGGTGAGAAGCAAAAGCAAAAAAAAAATTCGGAGGCAACTCACCCGAGCCCATTCACGAAGAACTTTTCCGTTATATACTCGCGGCAATTGGAGTTTTCAAAGGCCAGGTAGAACTTGTAGTCTTGGGAGAGCATCTGGAAGCAGGTCCCATCCTCGCGAGGGCACTGGAGGTCGCCGCAAGCACCGTAAATGTCCACGTCGATGTGCTTCGCCAATTCTCGGGCGTACAGGAGCCTCCCGTTCTTGGAGAAGCAGTTGGACACGAACCACGCGACCTTCTTCGTCTTGCCCTTCGCGTAGTTCCTCGTCTGGGTTTTGGCCTTCGCGTCTGGATCGTAGTGCACCCACTTCTCGTAGGGCGTGACGATCTCGCTGTCGCGCCGGTACGAGGCGGTCCAGTTGGCGCGGGCCTGGCCGGTCGTGTCGGTGTTCGGCGGACTCTCGAGCAGGTTCGCGATCCACAGTTGGTCTGGCGGACGGGTGAATTCCACGGTTTCCGGCACGAATTCCTTGAACAGCACTGCGTCGGCGACGTCCGACCTTTCCATCGTCAGACGGCACGCGTCCACGGGGCACCGCTGATCGAGGAACTGGTCCCGGCCCAGTCGAACGCCGGGCCAGGCATCGTGATACAGCAGAATCGTCTTCAGCTTCGTCGCGCCTCGGCTCGTCGCGTACAGCAGCTGTTTCGCGATTCGGTCGCCGCTTCTGCGATCGTCGGACGGAAACAAGGAGTCCGCGCTGATCGTTCCTTCCAGCGGCCGCAGCGATCCGCGTCTGAAGAACCACCACGTCCTGGACAAAGAATTCGCGTCCGAGGACGCAGAATCGCTCTGGAGGGACTCGATCTGCTCCTTCGTCAAGGGCTTCCTCTCTTGAAAGGCGAACGCATTGATCACGCGTGAGCCTGATGGCTCACGCGTGAGGCCACGAGAAGCCACGAAGAGAACGATCGCGATCGCCGCGGCGGAGAGAAGCACGGGCTTCGAATGGAGTCGAGGCATCCTCTGACCGCCTTCGCTTTCCGGCTTCTCACATCGTGGCCACCTTCGATCAGCTTCATCCCAGCCGGGCTTTCACCCCGCAGGCCCGACGAAAGCACCGATAAGTACCGACCACAATCGCCTCCTCCTCCGAAAAGAGTACCGAAAGTACCGACGGCCTCGCACTCGTACTCGCGGTCGCACTCGCAGTCGCACTCGCAGTCGCACCCGCGCGATAGCACACTATCTCCCGGCACACATGTGCAGAGGACTGCGATGTGAAATGGAGCTGACGGGGCAAACGCCCCGATTTTCCTGCTTCGATGATTACCGCCTTTTTTTTACCGCCTTTTTTTTTTTTACCGCCTTTTCTCGTGTGCGCGCGTTTCACTCGAACAAACACAAACGCTCGGGTCCAGTCCGGCTTTTCCGCGTTATCGGTCAACACCCGTCAGAAAGTGAATGGATCTATTCTTTCTCGCCCGAAGGCGGATCTCGTCGGAAGGCGGTTCTCTCCAACGGCCTTTGGAGCAAACCGCCTGAAAATTTTCAGATTGTCCAATTAAATAAAAACTATTAATCATTAAAAATCAAGAATTGATCATTTAAATATTTTATGACCAGGGATGACCTTGATGTCAGTACTGATACGTAGTAATTAGTGCATTAAGTCCTACTCAGAACTTGTCATAAGCGCTTTGAGATCGATGAGGATCGATCTCAAAGCGTGGCCCATTCTAAAATTTCCCCCTTTTTCTCTCGCAAAAATCCCCCCGCGGAGCCTCAGCGATTCGTTGGGAACGTGGGTGGAGTTGTCAACGGGAAATTTATTCAATTCACAGAATTTCGATTCGTTATTTTCGATAAACATTTTCAATTCTAATTCTTGCTCTTGCAGAAAATGTAATTCTTTTTCTGCGAAAAGGGGACCCTACATTAGGTACTTAATCAGTACCCATGAAACTTTTCAGCCTGTGAACCGGTCCTGCCCGATCCCCGCCCCCTCACTTTCCCATCCAAATGGCCTATTCTTCCATCCAAATGGCACGGCGCCATCCAAACGGCCTATTCCTCCATCCAAATGGCACGTTCTTCCATCCAAACGGCACGTTCCTCCATCCAAACGGCACGTTCCTCCATCCAAACGGCACGTTCCTCCATCCAAACGGCACGTTCCTCCATCCAAACGGCACGTTCCTCCATCCAAATGGCACGTTCTTTCATCCAAACGGCACGTTCCTCCATCCAAATGGCACCTTCCTCCATCCAAACGGCACGGCGCCATTTCACTTTCATGGAGCGTCGAGATCCGCACTCAAGCGGCGATGACTCGTTTCCGTCTGAGATAACGGAAACACACGAGGCAGGATGACCAGCGGATGACGCCATTCATCCTCCCTCTTACTCAGCGACTTCCCGTCGACCTTGAACGTGCGTGCTTCCTCTTGGCCATGTGCTTCCTCGTGGCCACGATAATCGCGTGGAGTTATCTCCGAGGGATCCAAGGACGAATTCATCGCTTTCTTCTGTAACTGCTGCGAATGAGCGCTGAGAATCCAGTCGGGAGCTCGTTCATGAAAGAGACTCAGAACGGATCAGGTTCCTGGGGCGGGGCGGGGCAGGGCGGGGCGGGGCGAGGCATACCAAGCCCAAGGGGGAAGTGATTGATTAGTATGATTGTAGTGAATATCGGCAATTTACGTTCCGCAAAATTCGTTCGGCCCAGGCGGCGCGTTCACCTTAAATTATGTTAGTAATATGAACTAATTAAAATTAAATTAACTAATTAGAAATAAATGACGAAGGTAGGAGAGACTCGCGTTGTCACCCCGAGCTACGGAATACTGAACAAAATATTGAATGGTCCGGAACGGTGCACATTAAAATGAGACACACCGGCGGGATTTTGGCAAACTATATTTCGTATCGATAATACAGGAAGCGTCTCAATAAATTTCAGAAAATTCCTGGTGCGTTCTAGAGAGAGACAATGCTGGATGAAAAAAAAAAGTTGAATGAAAGGGGGTCTCCCTTGAGCAATTGAAGTGATGCGGATCGGGCGTGCGGCTTCGCTGGGTTTCCGGTCGGGCGCGGAGGCCGGGGAGCGTGGAGGCGTGAGCGGGCCGGCTCGAGACTGTAATGCCCGGCTCGGGACTGTAATGCCCGGGTTGGGGCCTGTAATGCCCGGGTCGGGGCCTGTAATGCTCCGCTGGGGATCGGGGAAGTCGGCCCGCGCAGGCCTCCGGCTGTTGGACCGACTGGAGGAACGACATCTGCTTTCATCGCGTAGATATATAGAAAGTATCACGTGTGATCAAAGTGGAAACCTCGATAATGGTTTTCCACAGTGTGAGATCATCTTGCAGAATGACCCCGAGGCGTGAAACCATCTGCGCTGCGTCTCGGTGAGTTTCGCCGTGGCTGAAAAAAAAAAATGAATGAACATTGGTGAGAGTGCCCACAGAAGGAGTTCATTGCGGAGGATGCACATGTTACTGGGGGGAATGCGATGGCGGCGGTCGTTGAGCGCGAAATATTGGTCTCAATGCCGATTGGCCTCAATGCCGATTGGCCTCGAGTAAATGCAGTCTTCACGGGAGAAATGGAAGAAAACGTACGACGACTTCCTTTCGTGAGGGACACTCCGCGCGTCGCACTGCTCAATCCTGTGCTCATTTCTGTGCTCACTTCTGTGCTCATTTCTGTGCTCATTTCTGTGCCCATTTCTCATTTTTCACTGGAAACTTGGAGCATTGTTACACGAACACGACGAGCAGATTTCCGTTTTGCTTCTGGCGCGTCCAAAGCTAGCTGACTTCGAGCTTAATTTTTAATTGTCTTTTTTTTACACTGCATTCTATTTATGATTTTATTTATAACTCATTTTTATGAATTACACATTTTCGCCTCCAAGTTCGGACACCCTATAGTAGGCCGTATCGGAAGCTATAAGGCTTTTGATATTTACTTATGAATCATATCGTTCTCCCATGCAAAAAAATAATGCCTTACCGCCTAATCACGCGACATTCATCGATGTCTTTGTTAGCGCCGGAAGCGTTATTTTGAGTACATTTGGTTTTGAATGGTTCTCGCTCGTTTCGCGTGGGTTGTCGTGCGAATAGGTGTTCCTCGGTGAGGTGTTCCTCGGTGAGGTGTTCCTCGTCGCCGAGTAACACCTCACCGGTTTCAGTTTCCCGGAAGTGGTTTGAAAACGGTCGAGTTGAATCGAGTTGCGTCAATGATCTGATGAAAAGTGGCTTCACGAACAAAAAATCGTGAGAAATCGTGACCGGGGGAGAGGGTCGGGATGACAGACTTGGTACGCTTGCAGTACTAATATTTTTAAATTTTCTTATTGGAATGTGATTATTCTAATGCAAACGCCAATGAGGATTTCATCGCGGAAAGGTCGCAGGAGTTGAAAGACCAAAGACACGTAACTGAATGCTTCAGCATTTTCTCCCAGCGGAGAACCTCCATCGAGGATGGTCGGCGGTCCAGTCGCCCGCCTCCTCCTCCTCCGCCTCCTTTCGCTGGCGCGGAGGGGGAGGAGGTTGGAGGAGGAGGAGGCTGGAGGTTTAAAGGTCCATCTGCCAGTGAAAGGGCTAAGGCTCCATTCACTGTCCCTTCTCCCGAGGCAGGAGCGTTTAATGGATGTTCTTCGCAGACGGATGCACATACGATTCTGAGTTCATCAGCCGCTGGTATTTAAAAGAAAATAATTTTACAAATGTTGTTCAAGTGTAATGAATTAGATTTTCTCACGAAATCCCATATTATACTTTGAGCTCGAAACCGCGATAATTCGTAGTATAAGGGGAGTTCAACAAATAAGTGGGCAACAGAGAAAATGCGTATGAAACGTTGGTTTAATTAAAATAAAAATTCTGACCGTGTCCTTCACATCTTCGTCCGTCAATGATAACCGCTGACCTTTCAGAGCCTTCTTTAATGGATGTGCAAGAAACATGCGGAGCATTGGCAAGTTTCCGGAAGGCAACGAAGTCCAAGCGCCCTGGCCTTTCGACCGAACAGGTTGCCTTGTTGCATGGCAACCCCCATACAGCCCACATTACACAGGACGTCTTAAACAAGTGGTGCACGTCCTTGGGCCATTCAAGAAGGCACCGAAAGGTCAACGGTTCCACTCGGACGAAGATGTGAAGGATTTTCTTTCGGCTGCGACCATCATCTTTCTATGAGAATGGCATCTATGAGAATGGCATCTATGAGAATGGCATCTATGAGAATGGCATCTATGAGAATGGCATCTATGAGAATGGCATCTATGAGAATGGCATCTATGAGAATGGCATCTATGAGAATGGCATCAGCTCGCTAGTGAAACGTTGTGATGAGCGCATTGACTTTTAGTTCCTTTTAATTAACCAAGGTTTCATGCACATTTTCGTTTCTGTCCACTTATTATTGAACGCTCCTCGTAGAACCGAGACCGTAAATTCGGAACGTGTTTGAAGAAGAATTTGGAACCAGTTCGACTTCCAACGGGAACTTTTAGAGGCGGCCGTTTCTAGCCGTTTCTCGCCGGGTCCAGACAAGGCAAGTGCAAACTCAGTCCTGACGCAGTTGCAGGGATATTATGCACCTGCGAAAAGCTGGGAACTGCGGCCGTGCAGATGTTCGCCAACACACCTGACGCCAGCACACCATTTTCTCTGCACGTTTCAGTTATTTCCCCAATTAGTTTTTTTTTTATATTTTGCGCTGACGGCGAAAAACGAGAAATTTCATGTGCAAAATTTGTGCAAAACTATTCTGCACACGTTCTCCTCGCGCAGCACTGACCACAACCGGGCTCCAGCCGGGAACAGCCAACTGGAAACCGGCACGGATCCTCCCCCCCCCCCGCCCACTTTCCAGCTCCTTCGCAGGCGAAACGATTCATCGCCGGGGTCAAAGCCCGAAACTCATTAATCGAACATTTAAACATTTATTCTAACATTTTATCATTTAAACATTCTAACATTTTATCATTTTAGCAGTTTCTGCGGATTTGGTTCTCCAAGTTTCAAAAAATATTTTTTTTTTTTCCTGTGGCATCATCGAGCATTCCTGCACCAATAGAAATGTGTCATGACTTTCTTGAGTTCGCGAATTCGAAAACTTCCGGAATGCAATTAATGCGGCGAGACTCATTAAATGCAGATTTCCCTGCCTCACCCCAAGTTACAGGATTGATAAAATTATTTCTAGCAAACAATGAACTTTCCCCTCTCTTTCCACTCCACCGAAATCGTTTCCCGTAAAAAAAAAAGAAAAAAAATTCGGTTCGAAATGGATCTTAACCCGCTCGAACGTATCATCCTCCTTTTTTCATTTTTATTTATTTTCCCACGGAACCTTTCTCGAAAGGCCGGTCCAGATACTTTCTTCGTGAGAAATGGAACGACTTCGATTCCATTCGTTCGCGCGAAATGAAACCTGGGCATTTGTTAAAACAATCGAAATAAACGCGCAAAAACGGTTTGCAGAATTTTCACGGCGTGAAATTCAACTGAATTTGCATTCTCCGCTTTTTTTTTTGCTGGGTTTCAATTCGCAATTTTCATTTGCAATTTGTTCAACTATAAGCAAGAGGGTGGACGACCTAACAAATTAATTAGAGATCCATGCAAAATAATATGTTATTGCATTTTCTGTAAGATAAGTGCTTAATAGTGGTAATTTCATGTTTCGTAATCGAGAGCAGATTGCGCTTTCCGACAAAACGCAATTCAAGTTCGCCTTTTTTGCTCGTGGGCCCAGATAATAGTCGCGTAGAAATATCTGGGCCGACCTTTCCAGGCAGCAAACCCAGGTTGGGCCAACGTAGGCGTGTCCCGCGGCCCCATGTTGGCCCTGCACCAATCTCCACGTTGGGCCAACGTTTGAAGCCCGCATTGAGCCAACATCATGACTTTCAGGCGCTTAAAGGCTTAATAGGGGATTTGAATAATAAATTGCTATTTCATTCGCATGGCTTTTCCGGGGAAGATTGCTTGAGGATTCTCCTCTTTTAATCGAGAAGCTCTGATGGGGAGCAAGATGCAGCCTTCGCGGTTGACGGGAGTCTCACTGGACTGCTTGACCTGCTTAAAAATGAATTGACGATTTCGAATGACTTCCCCGACGTTATCTGCGGGATCGGATCAAGTACCGCATGAAGAGTACTGGGTCTCGTAACGAGTCACTCGCTGATGAAACTGAAATAGGACTACGTAGTCGCCATCTCACAGCACACGTGGGAAGTTTTTCTGTTCAAATAACCGAGATAGAGGTCTCGCTCAGAGATAGGGCAAATGCTGGCTTCCGCCCTAGCGTGGGCCCACGCTCTCCCATTCGCAGCCAACGTGGGCTAAAAGCGGTGTGCTGCCTGGGTTGAAGACTCTGCAAGGCAAAATCTGTCACCTAGCAATTCCTGCCGACGCGCTCCACCGTATGCGGCCTCGAAGATCTGGAGAGAAAATTGGCTAGGGACTCAGCTGTGCAGGTTGAGGAAACTGCCTCCCTTCGTTTATCGAAGAAGTCAATTGGCTCCAGGCGCGAGCTTCGCGTTCACGAGTCTGATACGTTTTTGGGTTCCCACCAGAATGAAACTACCAGGTAGTTCGGGTGTCAACATGGAATTCCGAAACTCATCGTTCCACATGAAACTCATCTGAAAGTATTTTCTGGAAATCACTGTATCACTGTCGATTCGAGGATTTTCAAGCTTTTATTTATGTTGTTCCTTGCGCCGGAAAATTCTTTCAAGGACTTTTCTTACTCATATTAGCTTGTAAATCAGTTAAATTAGGCAATTTTTGTTTGAAATCTTGGTTTCAACCAAGATTTCAACGACGGTGTGCACGACTTCCTTATTTTAAATCTCTCAGACTGTGTAAAAATATATATATAAACACCGATGATAGTTAACGTTCACATAGTGTCTGTACTTAGCTAGGGAAAAAATCGATTGCAGAAAATTCACTTTATTTCCTTAGAAAGCACCAAACATGGAGTAAAAAAAATCCTTGCATGTTGAAGGCGGGTGCGTCGAGAAACACAATTGCGGGGGGAAAGGCGACGATCACCATGGAAGGAGAACGACCAGATCGGAGTGAAGAGAGGGAGAGAGATCACGACCGCATCCGTCTCCGTGGAAGCGTTGAGAGGGTGGTGGCCCGGAAGTAATGCGTATGCAATATCGCATTTTCATTAAGAATGGCCAAAACATGATATAAACAGAAAGGCTTCCAAATACTGTCTTCCAAGTCTACTTTTCAATTGTACCATGTACATTCCGAACTAAGAACCACTGCATGGCCATGTTTGACTGCGCGCATCAACTCTGTGGAGTTCGCGTAAGGCGTAATTCCATGACGCCACTGCTCCAAAATGGATTCTCACTTTCCTCATCACCGTGCAATTTTAACATGTCGGAAAGAAGGCGTCGTGGTTGCCGGAATATACCACGAATTCCCTTTTTTCCCTGCGGTTTTTGATGCAGATTAAAAAAAAAGGCACTGGAAAGGAAAACGAATCTCCACCCGATGAAAAGCAGGCATTCCGATTGATGTTCCGTGTAGCGTTTCGGATGGCGTTCTCGACGAAAGAACGGTAGATTCAAGGTGTACCCACTGATGACGGCTCTCGAACACACTGACGATCCTATTGAGGAAATTCAAGGTGCCATTTAGAGAAAATTCGGAATCAGAAGAGAATAGATTCCAAAAGACCTCTGATATATATTTTTCTATTTTTCGCACCGAAAAAATTGATTCATGCCTGCGAATGATGTATCTTCATTTTCCCCATTAAACTGCTCACTGAGCTCTATTTTTATTATCAATTTCCCATCGAAAATGTGCAGCAACTTGCAAATCTGATAAGAATCGTGAATTAATTCCGATTTGCATTAGTGACACGGAAGAAGTGAGTCGGACGCACCAGAAGGAACTTGTCCTCGTCGTCGAGTCTGAGGAGGGTGTCTTCGTCGATTGCGACGTCGTCGCTTGTGACTTCCTGGGCCTCCAGGAACCCCTCTGATTCCATGGAATCCCAAATGTGTTGATGGCTCGGTAATGTATCGATGACGAACAGAGATATCATGCTCCTGGATACGCTTTCCATGAGCCAGGCGTCTTCAACGTTCACGGTAAAGACGACGTTCGCTGTGCAACCTTGAAATTCCTTTGGGTGAACAAACCTCAGGTATTGATATCTGGCTTTTGCAGGAGTGTTTTTCAGCAGAGTCTTCATGAGTGCCTGGTCTGACAGCAGCACTTGCACCGTATCTTCGTCCATGTTTTCATTCATAACGGACCGGAAACAGACTAGGACGCCGAGAAGACGCTGACAACATTCTTGTCCCATGCAAGACCTATTCAGATGTTGACCGGTGCATTTGTACTTAATGTACTTGGGCTTAGGTCCAAAGGCCGCGGCAGCTGGGCGGGAGATTGTGTGGAGACATCTTACATCCAACCACGATGAAATGTTGACTTCATTACTAGAAATATGATAGAGAAACTCTGGGCTCGTGCAACGAGGAACGACCCACTTCGATATGGGGAATCTGATGACCTTCACTCCGGGCTGGGAGCGGAAAAAGGATGTCAGTTTCTCGACGTCGATGCTTCGACCGTTTCTCGAGTGCGGTTTGAACGCAATCGTCATGATCAGATTATCGTCCTTTCGCAAGTCATTTAGGGCCGTGGTCCACATCCGAATCTCTTCCCCGGTCTCCTTAGCCTGTATTGAATAATCATCGACGTGAACATGTATCTTTAAATTGGGATGCTTTCGCCTAATTTCCATCACCCGATCATGGCAAATTACATCCTTAGGGCATAATGCATCCGATCGGATGATATCAAAGAGGCCAGTATGACTACGGAGATAATCCTCTGCGGCCTTGTGACTCAGGATGCTTCCCAAATGAAGGAGAATGATTCTGTTTTGACTCTGGCCATGACTTGCAAGCTGTTTCATGCATTTCAGCAACATCATACTTTTTCCAGAAGCAGGGGGTCCGAAGATGATGGTACATCGTGATGGATTCTTTGTGGGGACGAGACTCTTTCCTTGAACACGGATGGGTAGGTTCACGCGATGCCACGCTTTCTCATCCATGTGTGATATATCAAACTCCACCATTTTTTGGGCCATATCCATTTTCTCCCTCATATCTGCCTCGATTTTGTCCGCAATCGTTTCAGTGACTGACATTTTCGTAAGTTGCGCATATTTTCCTGTTTGAAGCTGATCACGCTCCACGAAGACGAATACATTATCGTGGTGTGAAGAAACCAGGCGAACGAAATTCGTCCACTTGCAATCGGGGAAGTCGAGGATGAGGACTGGGTTCTCCATGTGAAATCCAAGAGTCTGATCAGCGGTCACAATTATAACGGAGAATGGGTTTTCATTAGACATTTTCCCCCAGGATTCTCCATCCTCGTTTATGAAAATGACGTTGATTCCATTTAGAGTAGTAAGGGCGTTTCCCAGACGATTTCGACGCTCCAAGCAATCCACCACTGCATAAAGAGGCCGTTGTTTGTTGATGGAAACACTCCGCAGATGTTCTGATATGGAGTGGGAAGACCTCACAGCCTCGCAGGTCAATTTGTTCCAGCAACGGTCATGGAATGCACGGCAAGAGTGCATTGAGGAAAAGGTTGGCATGAATTCCCTTTCAGGATACCAGAAATCGATTCCCTTCATATTGGGCTCCTTGCAGAAGAATTTTCTGCGAGAATAACTCTCAAGAGCGAGAATAAACTCAGTTAAATGGCGCGTTTTGGTTCTGATGTCATTTAAGATCTCAACTTGGACCCCTGGGATCATTTTTATTCCGACATTGATCTCGCTTGTGTAGCTGCTATCATAGGTACGAAAAGCAAATGTGAGGCTCTTGACATGATCTTTCCAGCATAAGATATTTTTCCAGCGCTTGAAGGGCTTTTTCTTGGCGAACGAACCTCCGATTCTGAAAGTTATGTCGACCTGATCAATGAGGACGTCTTTCCCCGCACCATGCAACTTCAAGAATCCAAATAACTCCATAAGGTTTTCTGAGATCCATTTTTTCACGGTGATATTTCTTCTTCCTGGCGGAATACAAACACATGTGTATCACCTAATCAGATGCCATGTAACCGGGAAAGTGTTGCAGTGAAATAGATATATAAGGTGGCGCAAAAAAGGGAACCCTCATTTACAAATGTCATTATAACGGACAGCCTTGGCATGTATGATGCAAAAAGTTAGTTTATAATGCTATTTGATCCAAGGACAATTAACAATGAAAATTTTCTGCAAGGTGCTCCTTTTACAGATTTTTTTTTCCTTAGAATAAAATAATTCTTGGCATGCAAAGGTTGAAATTGGTGAATGAGATGTTTAAAAGTACGGGCTTCCCTTTTTTTGCGCCACCCTGTTGCATGACCTATGTGTCTCATTCTGACCTTTGCAGTGGAGTCGGAATTCTTCTGCTTGGAGACTCCCGGCTAGAGTTATCACCAAGACGTCGCCTCCTTTAGCCAATTCCAAGGCTCGTTCCTTAAGGATCGTCGTCTTCCCAGTTCCGCTTCCTCCAAATATGAAAATGGCATTTTCTTTACTCCTTATTAATTTCTTCTCATTGGCAGGGAGAATCATTCCCGTATGGGTCAATAGTTCCTTATAGCGGGTGAACAATTGTGTTGGGTTGAGTCGGTGGTCCACATTTGAAGCAACACAAATGTAGAAATCGAAGATGTATTTGTAGGTTTTCATAACCAGGGATTCGGGGTCCTTGTCACAGAACTTCTCCAGTACAATTCCCTGATTCTTCAAAAACCGTCTAAAACTAACCAAAGAGTCCAGATCTTCCGAAGTGAGAATTTTTTCTTCGCATTTCCTGCAGATGATGTATTTTCGCAATGAGGTCCTTGAAACTAATGGAAATGCGGCAAAGCCAACTAATTTTATGTGCGAATTCAGATATTCGTCAAATGTGTTCCTGAAAATATCAATGTCTTTTCTAATTTTCCTGATGCTAGTCTCATATTTTTGGGGGATTGTGTGCAGCGCTTCAATTGATATCCCCTTAATTCGGAAGAAAAGTCCAAATATATTCCTGCCAGATATTCCAATGGCAAAGACGTCATGATGTTTATGCTTCATGTTGACATGGAACTCCTGAGTACCTGGGTCTTTCGGCTTTCGAGAGGCACCCTCACCGAAGATGCCTTTGAAAGCATGAGTAACCGTTAGGGATGGCACGTTACGGAATGCATCTTTGAGACGTTGAAACACCAACGCAACAGACAATTGAGACGGGTATATGGTCTCCTCGTTTGCACTTTTCATAAGCTTGTCGAGTGCCCTGTCTCCCAAAAAGTATCCTACATGCGAGGAATAGGCCTTGGTATGTGAGTCGGAGAAATGCTGTCCCACGTATGCGTCCATGGCTTCCTTCAGGTCTCTGTCATCGCCAGTACTTAAGCATATCTTTAATTCATCTTGAAATTCGGAGTTTTTCCTCCTTTCATAACATTTCAACTCTCCCAAGGATGAAAATTCTTCGCATATCTGGCATTCTGTTCCAGATTCCTGAAAGAAATGTTGATTAAGTGCGAAATATATCACTTTTTTCGTGTTACAAAGGAACAAATAGAATCGACTGAGTTATCCTGGCGCTTTATTTGGCACACACCAGAGAAAATATGTCATTCTCATCGAAATCGCTTTCTGAATCGTACATGGTTGAATCAACTCAGAAATTCCTGGTATGAGTTATACTCAGTGCCAAAACAGTGCGACTTAGACAAAGTTAAGCGATTTTATTCATATTTGGCACATACCCTGTATGGTCGACTAAAGTCACAAATATTAGACTTGATATTCAAGGTGTGGGATTCGCGTAGAAATCTTGCCAGACGCCTGAATTTCGGCTGTGGCTTTTATGAGTGTCTACGAGTGTAGTGCCATTGTTGACGCTAGATTCCTCTCTTCTTGCCCTTAAGACAGTTCCCTATGGGATTTCGTTGGGAGTCAAACTGGGAGGCAGCGGCCACATAAACTCTCTGAAGGCAGTTTCAAGAAGTTGTTCTAGCGATTGATGGATGTGTGGTAATTTAGATGCTTAGTATGACTCCTTCATAATCAAAACCTTACGGAACCGTAATCCCGAGGTTTATTTTCATAGTAGAAAACGAGTTCTTTAGCCACTTGATTTTTTTTGTAAAAAATAAGTTAGTATATGCTCCATGGAAGTTTCCTGCAAAAATCGGAAATTCCGTCTTCTTTATTTTGAGTTCCCAAAATAATAACGGCTTAATAATTCAAAACATCGTCTCATCTGTTCCCACCTCCCCTTAAGCGACCGAAATGAGCACTTATTGTGGAGGGAGATGAACTGATGGTCAAATATTTTTACGATGGTAACAAACGCAAATATGGCGAGGATTCGTTGAAGGAGCATTATAAGATAGATTAATGAAGTAATTTTTTTACGGAATGAACTGGAGTGCTGCTCGGGTGCGGGGAAGTTCCAAGTCCACTGTTTTCCGAGGTAGTTAAGGTTTGACTCGCGTTTACGTCCATTGCATCGCAGATAGTGAACATGCATAGAGGGTGCCATGGTTCCATTAGCATATTTATCACGCTCTCCGAGTAGTTTCCGAAATGAGGAAACTATGGAATTAGCATTGCGTTTCCGGTGGGCGGAATCATGAAAAGAATATAAATGTTTCTTTTTTTAATATCAGACTTGGAAAATGATCATTCCTTCTTCGATTTTTTGGTGACCCGAGCGAAATAAAATGGCAGTTTCTATATCTAATAATAAAGTAAATACATAGCATATCTCAAAAGGAAATCATCCTAAAGGATCCTATAAGATTTTTT